GGAAAGAGAAGAATTTATACTACAGCATCTTGTAATAGTCTTGCCTTTGTAAGAACCTCACTCATCCACCATTCTACAGCAGCTTTAAGTGGAGGATTTCTTATTCTGTACATCATTGCTTCCCTTTTTTTCTTAGTCAAGAAGCCAGGCCTGTTTTTGAGGTGTCCCAGAGGGAAAACTCTCTGAGCTGTTAGGAGGCAGAGTTGAGCAGCTCCATTAGACTGATCCAAATCTGAGCTAAAAAGTTTCCCACATTTTTATATGGAAAGAGCCTGGAAGAATCCACTGGGAGGAGAGGCTTATGTTGGAACTCTTCAGTGAGGCTCACTGGAGCTACAGGCTTCTGGCTTGGCTACAGGTGATGGAAGACAGCTGTTCTTTGGGCAGCTTTGGACATTCTGTCTCAGATAATATTTGCTTGGAACAAGATTTGTATCTGTAGTTGCTTGGCCCCTCTGCAGCAGACAGCTAGGCTGAAGTGCTGCATTGGCTCATGGGAATAATGTTTGTGATGGTGGAAGAGGACATCTTGTGCTGACCAAACTAGGGGAGAAACTTTGAAATGGTCTTTCCTATGGTAAACAGGTTTGAATTCGGAGTCCCACCAAAGAGGTTAACCTATCTCTTGAAGTGCAGCCCCTAATTAATCATTGATTCAATCATTTATGATGTGAGATACTATCACCTAATCTTCCTATTATGTTGTAGTGAGGAGGATGCAAAAACTGAATCCAAAGCTGCTATGCCACTTGGGAATTAGTCACCATTGGGGTAGAAGCATTCAATCTTCTGCTTTGCTTCAAATATTTGCACTGACTTCTGTCAAAGTTGCTGGCATTGCTGACTATGCTTGCAGTGCACAGAGGAGAGCAGTTCCATTAGTGCTTACCATGCCGCTGAGGAAATGCTCAGGATCTGGGGGCTTTCCCTTAGAGTAACTGAGGGGTTGTATAAACATATTTTGAATGAAGTGCATACCCCAGTGATACAGAAGCACTCTATAGATTTCCATATTGGTTGGTGGGGGGAATGCAGGGGAAAGGGGACGACACATAGCTGCCCTGTTCAGAGGCTTGCATTGCGCTGCTGCTGCTGGGGAACTGGTGTTAGTATGCAGCCCAAAAAAGATTTTTCTCTCAAACTTGAGTACGTGAGTGACTGGTGCCTGCCCCTTAGCCCAGGGTGAGATAGGTAAGTGCTGGTCTAGATTTGTTCCATCCGAGATGGGTGTTTTGGGCTGTTCTTTCCATATACTAGCACTGATGGCAAACTATCATATCAACAAAGAAGCCTAATGTTTATGTGGGTAGGACATCTCGTGGCCCTGTGATAACATTTTGTCTTGCAGGTCTGGACTAGAAGGAACCAGTGTTACTGATTTTTTTTTTTAAGTCTGCATGTTCTTGGCCTGCTCCATCCTGGAATTTTTCCTTGTCAAGTCCTGGGCATTACCAGCTTGCTTTTGTGTACCATCTGCACACTCTCCAGTTGGCAGAGTGGGACTCCCTATTCTTGAGATCCCTGTATTGGGTAACTAAAAAATGGTCCGATTTGAATCAACGTTAAGTTTAAACTGGGTAGCAAAGGTCTAGGATGGGGCTGGGGAGGGTGTGGATGGGGACACAGGGCAGTTGGCAATGTTCACTGAACAGCAAAAACTTGGGCAATGTGTGAGCATGGACTTTTAAACTGACGTGGTCATAACACTTGTTCCTTTAAATCCAGGCTGGTAGGACAAGATGTTTACATGGAGTCATGAGATGTCTTGCCCACATGCAAATTACCATTAGTAGGTATGGGAGTTTTCCATCAGTGCTGGTCTGTTTTGCATGCTGGTAAAAATTGCCTCAAGCTTTGGGTTGGGCAGCTATCCAGTTAAATGAGCAGCTGTCTTGGGTTTAGCTACACACAAACTCTTGCGACTGCCTGGCCACCTAAGTAGCCTGTTAACAAGTGGTTACCTGGGGTGGATGTAAATAAATGCCACCCATTTTAAGTTTTTAAAAATTTTAACTCGTGTAACTTAAGCAGGTGGAATTCTACTAGTAATTCTACTGGGGGTAAGCTTCTGCCACATTGGATGAAGTTATCCCATTTTGAAGGCTTACATAGTCTTATAAGTATGAGAGATGAAGTCAAAGTATAATATTATTTGTCCAAACCCTACTTCTCTGCTCCCAGAACCAAAACTTCTAACTGCTGGTGTCCCTGCAATGGCTAAAATGGGTTCTTGAGTCCATTAAGAGCTGATGGATTAAACCAGTGAGGACCAAACTTTTTGGCAAGCATGCCACAAATTAAGCCCTGCATCCTCCTGGGCTTAAGTGCCATGTGTGCAGGTTGAACACCCCTGGATTAAACGTTAGGGGCCACCTACTACTATTTTTGGATACTGCTTGGTCACTGAAGCCCCTAATTAGGTTAGAGGGAGGGACTGAAACTTGAGCCATGGAAAATAGTTTTGGAGAGACCAGCAATGTGTCTAGTTCTAGGGAAAGGTTTATCTGAATAGAAAAAAAAATTGCTTATATATCCACCCCTCCATCCACTTCAAGGAGACAAATCTTGAGATGTTTCTGAAGCCAAGGTGGAAGAGAGGGGATGGTGTGGTGAGAGGAGAGAACTAACTAGGTCCATGGTATGTGCTATCTGGGACTGTGCATGGCTTGTTTATATAGTAGTTGGTGAATATGTGCCTCTCCTTTTAAAGAAAAACCACCTATGGCAGAAATCCTAATCTCTAAACTAAACCCTTCTGAGCAGGCGGCTGCTGCTTCTCTTTAGGGTCCAGGGTTAAATTGCTTTTTCCAATGTGCTTGAATTATTATTTTAGGATGAGGACCTGCAGCCCAGTTCAAATGGGTGGACTAGCCACATTGCAGGCCCAGAACTTCAACCTTTATTAGAAGACTCTGCTATGAGGAGGCCTATAAGGCTGAGATCCCATGATGATTAATGAGGGACTAGCCCATCTGTTTTTTATTGGAAGAGCATGTCTGATGCAACTGGAACTATGTTGGGGGATGAAGGAAAATGTTTCCACAGCACTAGACAGCTTCCTGCTGTACTTTCCTCTAGTGTTTGTATAAGTGATGCAGAAAATTACCCAGGATAAAACCCACCCTCATACTCTCTCCCTATTAGGCAGAATTTTGAGCCTAAATAACCTGGTTACAAAACATGGCTGTTCCTGGATAGCATTGAGCTGGGCCCTGTAATTATCACACATAAGGAAGGAAGTAGAGGTTGAGGCCTGACACTGCTATCTTCCACTGGGTTTGGCTCTGTTACTTAACTAAGCTTCTTTTTGGTGCTGGGTGATGAGCAGGGCATTAGCCCTGTTGCTGTGGTTGGGAAGGACAGGCCAAAAGTCATTGCAGCATAAGGGACTCTGTTGTGAAAGCTGCTGCTGGTCCCTTCCCCAGCCCAATGCCTCTAGTCTGCTAATCTGTTGAGATGTGTTCTGCTAACTTAAAGTCTCCTGGGCCAAAACAAGGCCCAGTCTGACCATGCTGGAATCCTGTCTGCTATATGTTGGAAGTGTGGGGAGGAGGGGAGAGTGCAGGGAAGGGAGGCAATGGAAGAAATGGGAAGCTTAGTGTTTGCTTTTCTTATTTGTCTAACTCCAGTTCCTGTTGCGGGAACTGGAATCTTCCTGCCCCCCTCTTCTCCCAACTCAGAAAGATGCCAATCTGAACCCAAGGCAGCCTAGAAGGGCTTGCTCCATTAGCTATACCAGTGATTTTTCCCATCAGAGTGCCACAGCACCCTGGGGTGTCCTGAGATCCTTTCAAGCATGCCATGAGATGCAAACCTAGCAGTGCTAACATTGTGGGGCAAACATGATTCACAAGGTAAACACAGAGATTTCACATAGAAATCCATAGTTGTGGTCTTTCTGAGATCTTTGCAAAAAAAAACCAGCTTTATTTTTCTATAGTAAAAAAAAAAAAGTGAAAACTAGAGCTGGAACTATCTGAGGGGCACCTCGAGTCTCTCTAGGAGTGCCTCAATCCAAAAAAGATTGAGAACTGCTAAGCTATACTGGTCCAGTTAGTCTAAAACAGGGGTTTCAAACATGCAGCCCTGGCAGTTGTATCTAGTCACTGAGCCATTTCACCTGGCCTACAGGGCTCCCAGAGGGCCAGGGGCAGGGCCTACCACTGGATTCCTAGCTATTCACATGGCAGGGGTAGGGAGTGGAGGACAAGTGATGTCTGTGTTTCACCCTTGCACTGACCCTCATTCCACCACAGGATCTGGCCTGGGGGCACAAGTGAGTTTGACCCTGTGGCCTCTTCCACAAAGGGCGTCACTACTGCCAGCACCACAGAATATCTGCCTATGTTGTCTCCCCCACTCCTCAGTGCTTTCTAGCAGATCCTGGCAAACATGAGCTGCAGATGAGAGAAAAGGGCAAAGTGACCAGAGGCCTTTGGAGAGCCCTGGTGCCTTGTACCAGATAGCTTCCCAGGAACTTGACTCCACAGGAGCTCCGGCCTTTTGTCAGCAACAGCAGAACTTGAGTGACACCTTGGGGTCAGTGCTTCAAAGAGATGTCACATGCAACTAGGATCACTTTTGTTCAAGACCAACATTTTTATAAACCCATGGGTTAAGCATGAGGCAGTCTCTCAAACTGTAAATTCAGCAGTTCCTGGGAATATAGTTGGAGCAGCTTTAGGAAACCCCAGCTGTTGCATGTCCTAGCAGACTTTCAGGCTTGCTCTGTTCTTCCAGCCCTGCTGTGGGATAGTGCCGCAGGCTGGAATCGCTTGGAAGGAGGACTTTACCAGGGCATCTTTAGCCTGGGACAGGTTCAGCCCAGTCTTGTCAGATCTGGGTGGGAGCTGATGCTCCTTAGGGTGAGAAGCTGTGGTTAGCTTCCCACTGTTATTAGGAAGGAGGCACAAGGGTGAGCGAGGGACATGAACTTTGACAGTGAATTTCTGAACAGTCCACCTTCTTCCCCCAGAGACTTGTCTCCAGCACAGAACCATGTGCTATGGGATGGGCAAGAAAAGAATACAAACAGAAGAATAGATTTCACAGTTGTAAGTTACTACTGCATCCTTGCTCAATGAACACCTGGTATGAGCAGAGGTGCTATTTGGTTTGCAGACCTGAGAAGGATTGAAAGTTTCAAAATGTGTGTAATGGGGGAGCGGACCACCATATCTGCCCCTAGCCCTGTTCTCAATCCTCTGAACTTTCTGTTTCCTATCTAGCACTGATCTTGATCCTGTCTTACTGCTTCCAGAGCCAAAGCTAGGTTTAGGGTAGGATCAACCAGGACACTGCAAGGGCACTCAAGTTGCAAGATGCAGTCACGCTGGCTCTCATGGGCTCCAGGACTCTTCACGCCAACCTTTTTACTGCCGTTGCCACTGTGATCACTTCTAGACTCTGCTCCCAGCATGTCCTCAGGACAAGGGGTGGGCAGAAGGGAGGAAACTTATTGTGGGTTTTTTTCCAACAAAAGTTCTCACCCATCCTGATGTTTGGTAGTGGACGTTAGGAAGCTACTGCAACCACGTGGGCATATTTTGCTTGTTTTTTGCTACACACATTTATACATTCTTAAGGTTTTACCATATTATGTCATAAGTGCCTTTTTTGTCTTACTTTTTCTTTTAAAAATGTAATGCATAATAACTTTTATGTAGTGATACTCTGCATGTGAGCTGCACTAGGCACTGAAATGTCTGGCTATGGTTCTGCATACAGGTATGCGAGAGAGAGTTTAACTACTTAATTCAGTGCCAGGCTTAGAGCCACAGGAATGAAAACATAGCTACTGTGTTCTGGTATCTTGCCATGGGGATCCTCCAGGGGAACAGCAGTTAGGTCAAGGATAACATGGTGATCATGTTTATTAGTCTATCCTGTAAACAGAATATATCAAATGCCAGAAGGCCCGGGCTGCCATGAGATCTCATAACGTGATCTCATAACATCTACTTCCAAGCTGTTGCCTAATGGAGGAGGAAGTTCATAGAGCACACAAGAGGCCTCCAAAATAAACCAGAAAGATCACTGAAAACAGTACAGCTAAAACCACCTCAAACTAGCAACAGGCCTCTTTTTTCCCTGCCCCTCCCACCCACCCTTCTGCCACCCGCACTTGTACCCCTCTTGGGTTTTTGTCATAACCTGAAGGAACTAATCCTTAGGGACAGTGACTGACAAAAATCAGCTCCAGTTACCTAGCTGAAAACAGGCACTCAGTTCATCCTGCTAGGAGTCACAGCAGCAAGGCAGGCTGGGCAGTGGCATTCAGGCAGCTGTTGGAGCAATGCATCCTGCCATACAGGAAGTAGCCTGTGGGTCCCATGCCTAGCTGAGACTTTAAAGCAGAGCAAGTGGGGGCATAGGATGGGGAGAAGGGGAGCTTGGTTTTGTGCATGCTGGCCACTCTAAGTGGCAGCACCCGCCTTCCCATCTGCCCCCTGCATGGGATCCTGCTGCCATCCATTTGTTTTTGCATGCCCAGTGTATGGCTGCCACTGCTTTTGCTATTGTGCTGCCTGTATGATGCACATCCTCTTTGTTCAGTTTATGTGCAGTGTTTTGGACTGCAGCAGTCCAGAAGCCCAAGATGCAAGACTTTTCATAAAAGGGAAACTTGTCTGGATGTCATAGTCATCCCCTTCACACAGCTGCATGTACAACTAAAGCAATATGAAGAAATTCCAAACAGCAGGTGCTCCAACTCCTGTACAGCTGGTGGATACTTTCTATATCTCTTCCCAGGAAGGAAGTGTAGGAACCGTGGGATAATGGTGTTATCCTTGGGCTAGTAACTTTTTTCTTTTTGATCTTTCAGATCCTGGGTGCTGTGATCCTGGGCTTTGGAATATGGATCTTGTTTGACAAACTCACTTTCATATCAGCTTTGAGTAAGGCCATTTTCCTCCCTCCTGTGCTGTGTGAGAGACCTGATCCTCTGATTAGCTCCTTCAAATACAAAAGCATGGTGGGGAGAGATGATGTAGCAGCAAAGCCAAAGAGTGTTGTTCTATGTAGAGACTAGCTTCTGGTTGGGCTGGTAGAACTACAGTAGTGAATAGATTTTTCTCTAATCTGGTTAATGATCAGTTCCAGCCAAATGCTCTTAAAAGTCCTCCTATAAATAGGGACTACTTTTAAGAGTCCAAATCTCTCTCCTTCATCCAACTAAGCAGTTGCATACAAACACTCTTACCTGCCAAGTCCCTAGTTTGCAGCTGTAAGGACACTGAAAGTACTTAAACCTGCATACATCCAAAGAGACAGTTTGTCTGAACTGAATCAGCAGTGAATGTGCATCTTAGATGGATAGCAAGTGGTTGCTACCCTGTGTTCCTCTGAGTGAAGACTGGTAGCTGTCCCACTGCTTCCCTCGCACCTTCCTTGCAGGTGGCTTTGCCTGCCTTGTGGTGATTATCTCGATTAATGTGGAGGAGGAACCTGCAATAGAACAACCCCAAAATGACAGTGCTTACACTTTTTTTTTTTTTTTTTTTTTAAACCTAGGGTTTACAAGAAGCAGCACCACAAGGTTAACGCAATGAGGGTGTGAAGAAACCCCTCGGCTGCATAGACAAGGGGATGCATAAGAGCCCTGGCAGTAAGCTGTGATACAGTAGGGCAGAGGTGGGCAAAATGCAGCCCGCAGGCCGGATGCAGCCCACCAAACCATTCTATCCGGCCCGTGGGGCCCCTAAAAAATTTAGAAAATTAAGAGTTATCTGCCCTTGGCTGCCTGTCATGTGGCCCTCGATAGCTTGCCAAAACTCAGTAAGTGGCCGTCCACCTGAAATAATTGCCAGCCCCTGCAATAGGGGATTCTAGGACCACTGTTGATACATCAGCTGGATATTGCAGGCTGTAGGGTTTTGCTGTCCTTTACTTCACTAAGGAATTGGTGTCTCAGCAAGGGGGTGAGGGGGAAGAGAGTGTGTGTGTGTGTGTGGCTTTTCTGGGTTTTTTTGTTCCCCCCCC